GGGGGGGGGGGGGGAAATCAGATCTCTATAGTTGAACAGTTTTCACCTCTCTCTGATCATTGTCAAGACGCAGGTGCTCTGTGTGTTGCTTCTGTCTGTCCTTCCGCCTCCACTGTGCAGGAGCATTTCTCTTTGTCCACCTACAGATAGAGCAATATTATTAAGCAAACATCAAGAGTTAAGTGAAGGGAAGTGGCAATGGGGGAAATAAGTTTCTATCTTATTGTATATTGAACATGTCAACATCCGTTACATCAGACAAAGCGCAGCTGCAAATACACACAAAGAATTTCTGCAGAAGAATCCAACATTGGGCAGCCAAAGGATTTCAGAAAATTAGATCACACACACTTGCTTTGTATTTTTCCATTCTTTTATGATACCCAGTTACAATTTACAGCTTTTTGCTCTTCCTTCAAAGTTTTTATAAGAAGATATCCTAAAATATTTGCTAGCTCTTAACTGAGATCCCATAAGGAGATTTGCTTTTATATCGACAGTAATTATGAGTAACTCAAAGTACATCAACTATAACCTCAAACATAATACGGCTTTCTTAAGTCAATTTGCTTCTGGAAGTCCAGATTTAAAAAAGAAAAAAAGAAAAAAAAAAAAAAGAACAAAACAAGAGACAAAAAACCCCACCACACACAACCCACCCACATCATCTGATTTGTTCTCACTTTAAAAAAAAAAGATACTGAATTTGCCTTCTAGTATCTCTGCTTTAGTACCATTCTATAGATCTCGCCAAGATCCAGCACCTGTTGTCCCAGCTCACTCACTTGTTGCTCGCTGGTCCAGTGGATAAAACATCAGACTGAAGCTTGGGAAAAAATCCAAGCTCGTATTTCCCTTGTCCAATTTTCATGTCCAGCAAGTGTGGGTGGACTGCAGTGTGATCTATTTTTGCTAGCCTTAGTTCAATAGATTTCTCTGAAATAGCAAGAAAGTTAATTTTTTTAAAGGTGTCTTAATCAGACATAGGTATCTATAGGTATACAAAGGTATCTATAATCACACATCGTCCACTAAAAGCAGATCTCAAATTTGAGAGAGGAGGTGGAAGTTTCTTACTGACCCCGACAGGTACACTAGTACAAGAGTTTATTAAATATCAAAGAACTGACACCAAAAGGAGAAAAATGCTTATCTTCTTAAGCTCAAACATTTTTCACACAAAGCATGCAGGAAAATAGCTGAGTTCAATTAAATTTTACATGAATTTCATTTCACATCTCAGCTTCCTATGTAACATTTAGTTCCCCACTTAAGCTTTACACCTCAGCTTTTTTGGTCTTTTTTTTTTTTTTTGAGGTTTCAAAGCATGAATCATTACTTAACTTTAACCTAATGTCTACAACAAACAGCACTGACTAACTGTATTTTCTTAAGCGTCAAGAAAGTGGCTTATTACTCTTACCAGCCTCATCTATGGTTGTGCACTTTTGATACATAGATGTGCGCAGAGTTGGTGTCCTAACATTTAGCAGCCGAATTTTATCCACTCTACAATCAAATACTCTCAAAATCGGGTCTTTATCATCTTCATCATGGCACATAATCTTATTGTCAATAAAAGATGCAAACATTTGGGTCTCCAGGAATCTCGAAAGGAAAGGCAAGTAAGGTTCAGGCTGGTCTGACAAGAAAGATGCCTAGAAGACAAGAAGAGATAAGAGTGTTTGGGATTCTGCAGAGAGATATATCCACCAAAAGCACCAATTTTTCTAATCAAGGATGTATTAGAGTGCTTTGGTGCCACTTAAAGCCTAGTTTTACTACACACACCAATTCTATCTCCAAAACAGGCAGTCTATATGAAATCTTAAGTTTCATGACAATCACCTATTATACAGCACAATAATTATTAAACTGTGATTTTAGCATTTCCTTAATTTTCTAAAAATTTCAACAGAATCCGAGCAAACCACAGCAATAGTACCACAGGTGTGAATATTATGTACTTCTGGCCTGGCTCAAAGCTCATGAAGTTGATGACAATCTTTTCATACAATTTGATGGGAATCAGATTAGCGTTTTAGCAGGCAGTGCTGTAACATAATCTTCACCCACGTGAATTATCCTGCTGACAAATATCTGATCTCCAATAAAGAAGACAGTAGTAAAATTTGAAGAACTGGGTCTTGTGTTTCCCTAGAAAAGAGCTAGGGATATTTTGTTAGTAAGTAAGTGTTGTGTTGGGTCATGGCTTTATCCATTAACATATTCAGCAATTCCTCTGTTTAAAAAAAAAAAAAATTTCCTTAGTAATATTTAACCTTAATGTAGAGGTTAGCCATAAAGTGAGGCTTTCTAAGCTGTTTTTCTACAGCAAGCTGTATTCTTCTACAGTATCCTTAAAAGGATATATTTATCTCTCTAAGTGTGTATATATTTTTCCATACAATATACAAGATGTGACTTTTTTGGGAACACTGAAATTTAGGGAAGAAATTACAATTTTGACAGTACTGTTTTCCATTTTATGGCCCAATTAACGAAGTCTTAGGTTCGAATACTGTTTTACTTTTCACATTGACATATCTTCATATTACAACTTACTTTATCAAAGTTTTGCATCTGTTCCCTGTTTGTAAACCAAGATTCCTTGTCCTGACTGGGTTGAATGACAAATACTTCATAATCTGCAAACATTTGCGTAAAGCGGTTGGCAAAAACTTCACGGATTTGAATGTTCAGCTGGTAAATCTTGAATTCTTCTTCATCACACTGAATTTTAAGATCCTTTTTGCTACTGGTCTCCTCTCGCACCTCCAACTAAGAAAGTAAGGGAACACAAAAAAAATTTGTATTGTTGCTTTGTCAGGTATTCTAGGTATACAAGACCTTAATCTGCCATCCAGCTGCTACTCCTCAAGTCAACATTCCAATAAAAAAAACATTACTTACAATTTCAAGCACCATAATAAAACAGCAACATCAAAAAATCTAGAAAGAAACCTCTGTCTATAAAAGTTCTAATTTCGATAATAAACCATAACCTACTTTAGTACTGGTTGCACTGGATATGCATTAGATTAAAAAAGGATAGATAACAACCATATATATGCCCACGTATGCCATATAGTTAATTTACTTCCTTTTACCCTTTAGTCACCTGCATAGGCTTTTTAGGGTTTTTTAGTACCCCTGCATATTAGGCAAATACCTATTTCTGTCTGGTGTAATACAAGTCCAGGTTTAGTACTATTACAGTTCAATACACACCAGCTTTCAAATGAACACAGAACCACATAGTAAAAAGAAGCTGTGCATGTGACTTTAACGTAACTCCCTAGCAGTGTAATGTACAATTCATCACTATACAGCCCAGAGTAATCTTTATGAAATAAAATGCATTTTCAGCTAACATGTGGGCTAAGATTTATGAAAACAGCAATATGAGATTCAGATACTCAATTCATATTAGTTTTGATAGGAATTGAGTATCGGGGGCGGGGGGGGGAATCAAAGCCACAAGCATTTATGCACTATTTTGAATACACATTTGCTACCCCTGCCTTTGTTAATTATTGTAAGAGGCGCCGCCACACATAATTAGACACAATATCTAGAGCTTACATCTGCATGATGGTGCAGTTGCTGCAGCTGTCCCACGCTTCTTAAAGCACCTTGGTTATAGCAGTCCAAGGCAAGCTATAAACAGCATCCTACAGCCATGCTCTCTGCTAGAGAGAGCTCTGCTATTCAGCCATTTCTTCTAACTGCATTCCATAAGTAGCACTTGGCATCTATATATTCTCCATTAATTGGGTATTTGGTAGTAAGCAGGTTTTTTAAATTAAGTATTTGAGAAAATTTTGACAGTTATAACCTACACACTCCTATCATCACAAAAAAGGTTAGTAAAATGGGACTTTAACTACTAAGGAAGAGAGCACAGAGTAGATAAGGCCTAAATGTGCAAAAACTTACAAGAAATTTAAAAAAGACCTGTACTTCTCCCATCACTTCCCAATCCATTCAGCAAAAGAACAAAAGCTTCTTACCAATTTTCCCCCAAACAAGAAGAAAACAATGCAAAAGAAAAACCTGAGAAGAGGAACACGACTGATTAGAGCATCTAATCCTGTCTAGTAACCAAATGCTTCTTCTTGTAACCCCCCTGCAGCTCCCTCCCCACAAAATGGCTCTCCTCCCCAACCTACTGTAGGTCACACAATTTCTGTCTCTGTTTGGCCCCACCTGTAGCTCAAGTTACAGTCACACAAGTAGGAATCAGACTCAGCAATGAAGAACTGGTCACGATAATTTAAACACGCAAGAAATAAAACCTTTGCTGAGAAAAATCTTCATTTCATTCCACAAAGGCTCAAAAACCCCACAGTGGTCTTTCAGGTAATACGTTTTCTGCAAAAAGGGCAACGTTTTTTCCCAATTCTGATCGCCCAAAAAAATCCAACCAGGGTCACCACAAGCTAGGAACATTCACTCGCTGGGAATCAGACACTAATGCACTTTACAGCATCAACCAGAAAAAAGCATCACAGTATCCCTATGGCAAGCATATTATATACAAGCAAAATTATACATATTCTACACACAATGAGAAAGAAAGATACCTATAGGAACCATGACTGTATTCCAACTTCAGGATTATCTGGATGTCAGTTTTAGCCACGTAAATCATAAGAAAGTGGTGTAAATTTAGAATAAATCTTAAAACAAAGAATAAACAAGGCAAGGTGTATTTTTAAACACATTATCTTGGCAAAGAAACACTTGGGGATAGCCAAAGGTTTCCCTAGATGTTGTGGGGTTAAATCCCACTCCGCCCCTCCCCTAAGCTCGCCCTTGTCTCTACATCAAGTTCTTTCTAGTGAAGACAGACAAACAGAGTCTTTGGAGCATGACTTCAGACGATCTGCTGCTGCAGGTCGAGAAAGAGTGCAGACAATTTCACAGCTTACCTTTTCTAGACTCACACCTGTTCTTTTAACAAGTGCTTGGAGTCTTGCAATAGTCTCATTTTCCTTTAGCAGCTCATAGGAATTCAAAGGTGATCCTGCTATGTTCCCATTTCTTTTGTCAGAAACCAGGTCACACGCTCTGAGGCTCTTCATCTTGGAGGCACTTTCACTGCAGTGAAGGTTTCCCTCAGGTGGAATTCCAAAAGCCATTAGTATCTCTGAAATTTCCTGAATGAACTCAAGTTTATTTGGGAACTGGGGTAAGTCTTCTGGCAGCTCGATGAAATGGTTGTCTACATCCACAAAGCACAGGTTAGCCTGGGATTTAATTTAGAACAGGATACCATTACAATATCACTAAGCACAAGGGTCACGTTTTACTCATCTTTGGGTTTTGTGCTTAAGAGATTCAAATACCTTTGGATTTGTTTGGTTATTTTGTAAAACACACTTGCTCCAACCATAACTGAACTGATTGGTTGGCTTTGAAGCAAGCAGCACAAGGCCTACATTTCCAGGTCTTTCAAGGAGGTAACTAAGAAAGAAGACTCTAAAGTTGTTTACTAGGTACAAAAGAGATTGTAGTATATATTAGGTATAGATGTGCGAATTTTTTCATACACATACAGACAGATTTTAACTACAGGATATTTGCAACATTATTTTATACACATGCATACGAAAGCAGGTGACTGCCTGTTGCTCAGATTATCAGTCCACTCCTCTAAAGAGATTTGGCGAATTCCATTCTAAAAAGGTGTATTGATATTGAAGAAGCTGCAATAAAGTTATCTTCTCTTTTTTGTAAGCAACTTGAGAACTAAGGCAATTCTTGAACAAGTTTAGAAGTTAATTTCCAAGGGGAAAAACGAATTGAACTAGTTTCAATTCTATTTTCCTGTTCCAATCTCTATCTCACTCACCATCAAAAAAGACCAAGAAAAAAAAAAAAGAAAGAAAAACCACCCATGTGGCTTCCACAGCAACATCAAAAGAAGCTACACATCTTTCAAGGCTTTATGTCACCTTGTATTTGGCGGGGGGCGGGGGGTGCCCTTTTGGCTTCTGCATTGCAAAATCTATAACAAATGGTTTCCTAACATTACATAATTATATACTTCACAGCAAGAACCCCATTCATGTGTGAAATCTGCTTGGAAAGTTAAGCATACAGAAGAAATGTTGCTTTTCTGTAGAAGCATTTCAGTTTTTCTTCACTGCAGAATTAACGTGGACTGTCACTTAGCCTTCCCTACAAAAAAACCCCTTCACTCAGATTATGGGATTCTTTCAACCCGGCTTCATCACATTATTCTAAGAGCCACACCTGAACTCAGGTTCCACTATAGCTTTGCAGCAAAAATATATATCAAGTCATGAGAGCTAACAGATCTCCAGTTCTCCAGTTATCTCTTATGATTCAGTAAGTGCAGAAGGATGGAAGCACTCTCACAATTTAATAGGAAAGAAAGAACTGGAAGAGATTAACCTCACACTGAATGAATGATGGATGATCCCAGAAATCAGAGCAATGTACACAAGCAGTGAAGCATCAGTAAGGACAAAGTAGTTCTGGTAGGATTTAGGGACCGATCATAGATAGGCTAGGATAAGCTGTGCCTGACAAGACCCCTTCATTTAAGTAAACTGGTGTGAAAACGTACATTTAATACTTGTGACAGATTTAGCTCTCTTGGCATTTCTACAGAACAGAGTTAGGATGTCAATTCTCCTTAAAACACAAATATCTGTTGTGTTTGATTTCTTGAACGTCAACATTAAAATTTAAAAAAACATTGCAATTCTTAAAGCAGAACTCCACTGGACATATCACACTGGATTTGCACAGAACTTTGCATGAAAAAGTCCAATTTATGCTCTGCTACAATATTACCCATAGTTACAAAGGTAAGTAGAAGAATTCTAGTTCTCTGTTTCCAGATGCTTTAGCATTTTCATACTGGTATTTATTTCTTATGCTCAAAGGAATATATATGAAGAGTTTAGTAGCTCTTGTAGAGATCCTTTACTGTACATTAAATCACAAATTGAATTAGGTGTTGCAAAAGAATCCAAGGTCAATAAATAGAACTAACACCTTGATTCTGAAAACAGCTTCTGGTGCACCCTAGAAAAAGTTTTTATTTTTTAAACGGGGCAGGTGTCATTATTTAGATTTCCCCAGTACCAACATTGCTCAAACACAGCAGGTGGTGCGTGTGCCCACCTAGCAAGGCAGCTCCAGTGGTAGGCTAGGGATGCACGCAGGGTGCATCTGCTTCTTGTTCAGAGAAACACTCAGCACAAAGGGACACTATGTACACAAGACCTCTCATGTTTCGAGTAAGCACCTGAATTTAGGAACTTCAAGACCACCACTATACACATGGTTCTGTGATGATTAGAAGTCAAGTCAGCTAATATTTATCAGGAACACTGTAAGCGCTTCAAGACATGAGAGAAATAAAGCTTTGAAACTAGGCACAATGCCTGCCAATCGGTACTGAGGGAAGAACACAAACATTTAATTCATCACAAGCTGTCTGAGAAATATCACGACAGACTCATTAAGAAACTCTTCAAGCAGTTTAATTGCATTTCTTCCTTTTTAAACTCTCTTTAATTGATGCCATTCAACTTTTCTTCTTTTTTGGATTATCTTACCTTAGCACAGATTCTGCAGAAAACATCACTCTTGGTTAAGCTTGGCTGTACCTAAAAAGTGCTCGGCCAAAAAGTAGTAAGTATTTTTGGGGACACTCTACACTTACTCAGTGCCTGGTTAATAACCCGTTAAGTTAGAGGACTATCTAAAGCAGCATAAGCAAAGGAGATTCAGTAGACGGCTTTAGCCTCTCTTAACTTAGGGAGACTGAGGTCATCCTCAGACCGCATAAGCACTTTTGAAAAGGCCATGTTCCCCAGGGAACAGAAATGGCAAAAGACACCTCACTTCACAAGCCCTTCAAGAGGTACCAAAACAACATTTTTCTGTAAAAATGAAATCCCAAGTAAATAAACCGCCAGTAACAGACACCAAAACAGTAAGACTCACAATGCTGCTACACTATAGATTCAACAGAAAGTAATACCAGGAATCCAGTAAGGATAGAGGGGTCCCCACCTTCAATTTATTTTAAAAAGCAAGATAAATGAAATGGCACTTATTTTTTATGAAATCATTGCCATCCAAAGCATTTTGCATGCTAGGAACTGGGCAAGTACACAAAGTAGAAAAATAAAGGAGTTCGTTGATCACAAAGTTTTAGTTATTTTGTTTCTGGAGGCAGCAGAGTTGAGTGAGTTGTGAATAGTTAACAGCTCTATGTAAGCCTCTATGGATACATTGATCATCCTTTTACACATACAAAATTAAAATGATATAAAGACAAGATACTTAGCAACATGTGTAAGTAGAGATACAATTGAAAGAGCATCCTTAAGTCAGTCGCTTGTTATTTCAGGTCTCTAGATCAGTCAGGTATTCTTTCATTTGTCGCTGAGGTATCTGTTTTCTGACCAAAAGAAAACCTCAAGTAATTACACACCACTTTAATAGCAGATTGTTACAAGAGAGGACACATAACATCATCACACAGTAAAATGATTCTCCTGAGACACTATACTAAGGAACAAGGGTGTCATACTCCAATTTAAAAACTTGTCTTTCCCATAAACTTTTATCATCACAAATAACGGGGTGTCCAGGTAAAAGTCTTACAAACCTTAGAAATGTGGATGCAAGTAAGTCAATGTTCATGTATCTGATGCCAAAGCCTGGTCCCCTGAGGTCAACAGCACAACTTTCCATTGGCTCAGTGGGGTCTCTTCTGCACCCATCAATTCCAAAGCCAGAGAACAACTGCAATTCTTTAGTTTGACTTCAAGTACAATAAGGGCCAAACCCCGACACACATCCAGCAATGCCTGCATCAAGCCTATATGCTTCCTTTCAGCTCTGTTCAAAAATACAGAAGGAAACGATCTAGGTTCTGCCAAAACGATGTCTAAGAAGGAACTAATATTCACTAATAATAAGTAAGCTCCCCACGCCACTGACATCCTGAAGAGAAAATATGCTTTATTTTAAACATTAATACATAATTACATGGTATGCAAATAGATGCCTACAACAATATAGAACAGTCAGTTCTGAGAACACAATCACCACTACTTGAATTCTCCGTGCAGCACAGGTGCTCAAACTATAGGTTACATACAGGTTTTCACATCACCTCCTAGACAGTCAGATTGAAACATGGTACTGAGTTAAGGCTTCTGCCTGAATACGGCATTGAAAAACTAAAAACCATTCATCTACAGCATTTCCACAGCACATATCACCTTTGTGCATTAGGTTCCAACTTTGCAAATAACCACCCACTTCACTTAACACACAGAAAACATGGATATGCAAATTTATACACACTCGGCTGGCTTGTGGAAAACATGTTAATAGTGGTCCTAAATTCTTTCCTGTAAGCAAACGGTGACCTTCTGCATTTATTCTCAGCACTACTGTTCTTCAAGTCAACCCAGAATTTGTGACTGAGAACAACTTACAGCTGCAGCTTTCAGAAACACGAATTTAACTCCTCAAGTGGCTGTTTAACACTGAAGTACAGGAAAACATAAAACTGAAGTCTGTCAATAAATTTGCAGTATTATCAAGGATCTATCACATCAGCAGATAGCCTGAGAATGCATACAAAGCAGTGATTATCTTTCAAAATAATTATCTTGGTCAGTCTGGTGTAAATGTGTTGGTATCAAGAGGAAAAAAGGCTTTGAGAGATCTTTCTTATTTTCTAAAACAACATACAAAAATAAACACCCACAGAATTTGTTAAGATTTAGCATCTTTTTAATGGTTGAAATAAAAATACTGAGAATATATATCTGTCTTATATTAGCAGAGAACTGGATTTTTAGCTTTTAAAATCTTTCAACTTTTCTAAAAGAAAAAGCTATTGCCCAAGACCCTTGGGATCACTCCATTAAAAACAAGCTCTTTTAATGAGATACTACTTTTGTTTGATTTCACCAGTGCTGGAAGACTCGGTGTTGCATATTTTCACTCAAAATAATTTAAATTTTCACCATTCTCCTGCATTACAGAGTGGCAAGATGCACATGCAAATCCAGTAGCATGAAATGGCCCAGATTAACTTGCTTGTAAAAACATATTGCTATAGCAGTGCAAGAGTTTCTTTAAAAGGAAATTCAAAGACACATCAAAAAAACAATCTTACTTTAGTACTTGCTGGGTTTATGATCTGCAAAAAAGCTAGTTTAACCACTTTTTTGATCAATTTTACCGATAAACAAACCACACTTTTGCCAGTAACATCTGAAACAGCTACATATTCTTCCCTTCCCCTTTGATTTCTGCAGCACCTTATTCTAGCACCGCTTCTCCCATGCCCCCCCACCTTTCTCTTCTGGGTTCCTTACAAGCCTCTGCTGCAGCTATCAGTGAAACCACAAGGATGCTCATGCATACAGAAAGAGCCCTCAGCAAAGCGGCAATACATAGAAGAACAAGCTTAAGTGCACTGTGTCACTGACATGTACAAGAAACTCAACCCTACAGTAAGCCTCGAGTCTATTCTACAATTTTACTGGGCCACAGAGAGTCAGGTCTTCAAGTCATTGGTGAACTTCAATGGATTCTCCATCAGGCCCTGTTTTCTGATGTACCCAAGGGACAGTCTAAACTTGAATTTTGTACTAATGTAGTCATTTTGCTGAAGTTTTTAATCATCATCTGACAAAGCATCAACTTCTAGGATACAGCTAGGTTTCCATGCTCCCATGGTAACCCATTCCCTTAAAGCACCAGATGTGACCAAAATATGGGAGACTGCCAGCACAAGCAAACCAAAATAAGCCTTATGGCATATGTGTGCAAGACTCAAACCAAACCTGACTGAGTTAGGACAGATAGTATTTTCACATACACTAGCCTAAAACACTGAGCAAGACAAATTAGTCTTTTTAAAACTTCATTCTAAAACCACAATCAAGAAGTCTACAGTGACACTGAGGCATCCATGCTATGCTAGATAGCAATATTATATTCTTCCACAATGCCCTTCAACTGAGAAGCACTAACTAGATTTCCTGTCAAAGCTCACTTCTTTGCCCCTTGTCTAAATTAGATATTGCTTTAACAGCAGCTGTCCCATGCATCCATGTAAATAGATTAGCAACAGAAATGCAGTTTATGTAGTTTCAAGACGAAGAAAAAAAAATTTCTTTTGCAGAACTCAGAATAAATTAGAACATAGAACAGTTCTTTATATACCCTTTGCAATAAATGAGAAAAATCCTGATACTTATTATATCTGTGAATCAGGAGCCTAGAGGCAGGACTTGGAAATCAAGTTCCTCATATAACCCTGATGATTTCCTAAAGGACCATATACATTCCAAACTTTAGAGATAAGCAATGTTAAATACTAATATCCCTTTTGTTACTGATGTTAAATTTATCTTTATTGAAGTACAAACAATACAACCCATACGTCTTCTTCTACTGTTCTTCATCACCACATTTTATGCACGTTCCTTGTCAGTTTCTATATCAGGAATTAAGTGTAGAGATTCTTTGGCTCTTTAAGTAAAGGGTATCTGAAAGCCTAATCATAAACCAAAGTAGTTTTGAGATGAACCTGTAATCTGCAGTTCTAAACATATTAAGGCTGACTGATTAAATTATTAATATCAGAAATACTGATACTGACCAATAGTTTCACTTAGTGAGACCAGCAAGCACTTTGAATTCTGCTTTATATTTTAAAGTGGTACATTTACTTCTGTTGCAACAGCATTTTGGGGGGTTTGGGGGGGTGTTTGGGTTTGGGTTTTGGTGGTTTTTTTGAAAGTAAACAGTCTACAATGAAAGTCTCAACAACAGTGAGCTCTTCTTCTTCCCAAGCTACTTTGCCTCTCAGATAAGCAAATCTATTGGTATAGGATAACTTCTTAGTCATCTTTGAAGTCTCCAGCACATGTTCAAGCCCATTTCTATGCCATAGCTACATTCCCAGCTTGCAGTGTTAAGGACTTCAATGGTTCACAAGAAACCTTACTCAGCAGTGACTATCAAGGGGATTTCTCAAACTAAGTCATATTTATCGTGTACAAAGCTTTAAGAGCTCGCTCTTCGAATAACAAAGAAAAGCTGAAGCTTCAGAAGGACAAGTTCTGCAGCAAATTCCACCACATGGGCACATTGCTGCTGTTATCTGTGTGTCCTCCCCTCCCTGCCCTCCCAGGCAATTCTGATGTCTGTAAGATACTAGCAAAAATCTACTCCTCCACCTTCATAAACAGCTATCTGTAAAACAAAACGTAAATTGAGGTGCCAGATTATTTTTTTTAATACTACTTTGATTTCACTTTTACCACCTAAAAATAGATCAACTACCTTACTTTAAACCTCCAAAGTAAATTGATAAAGCTCTTCAAACCATTTACCTTTTAAATAATTGAAATATCTATTTGAAATTAAAATATGTTTATTTAGTTGGAATTATTACAGTGATTTTAAAATGAGGAAATTCTTTACAAAAGGAGGACAGTCTTTTAGAAGCTTGTTATAATAGTGAAAACATCCATGGTGCATATTAGCATGCATATCCACACATGTATTTTACTTCACCAGCTATTCTCTCTAAAAAGTATACTAACCATATTAATTAGGCCTGTCGGTACATCCAAAATTTTATAAAAATGTAGTAAACCAAAGCAAAAGACTGTTTTCATGGCAAGAACATACATTACTCTGTTATTAATTATGCCAGTGCAAAAAAAGAGAGGGAGAAAAGAAAGAAATCAAGAGATTAAATACTTTAGTTTTCATAGAAAAAATAACGCCATTTGAAGAGAAATTTTCCTTTGAACTTGCCAGGAAAAACAAATGAAAACTATCAGCATATGGATTTGAGAAAAAGAGCAATGTTGGCATGGTGACCAGACTGGAGGTTCACAAAAATATCTTGTCTTTAATTTCATACAGCTTTTTTAAGAAGTTTTTTTTGTGTCAAGCTATGTTGCAGAACTGCCCGATAATGAAAATAATAAACACACCACAAAACCCTCTGCCTGCCACACTTCTGCTTTCCTAGTAATGTAAATGATAATAGAAGAAAACAGACAACAAGAGAAAATGGCAGAGATTAGAGAATCCTGCCAGTACCTGTAAGTAGGGTGCTTCCCATGGTTTACCCAGTCGCTCCCCTACAAAGTTACACCTACAAGTAAGCAGACTCTAGAGGGGCCAGAGCTGTGTTGTTCTGCAGCTAATAACTCTGCAAGCACTCGCTTCTCAACAGGGCTACCTGATAGAGGTGTCCAGCTTCTTGACAACAGCCAGCCAGACCATACTGTAACACTCAGCATTTTCTATATACAAGAGCAAATAAACCATTCAATGGCGCTCGATGAGGGAAGTCATTCAGATGATGGATGGAACCGCTTCGGGAGCCAGCCAGGCACCAGACACCTGACATACTTCCCACGGGTGGTTACTGGTTCCTGCAGACATTTCCTTTGCTACCTGAGGTAGTGCTCAACCACTCTTGGTCCCCTGATCCCCACAACCAGCTCTTAAACTCTCTCTTAGCACGTCCCTAAAAAGAATATTTGTGAAGCGAACAGTGGGATAAAGTAAATAAAAACAACCTCTAAGCAGTTTGAACCTAGTCCCAGCCCCATGTATGAGTTGCAGGACCTTTACAAACCATTTGCTTCTCCTTTATACAGTGGCTGGTATTAACGGAGTCTCACTACAAGGGAGGACTTCCAGAGCACTATCCCAATTAGCACCAGTTTGCTCAAGTAGATGTTGACATTTTGCTGCAGACTGAAGTATGCATTCTAGATGAAAATTTGAAATAATTTTGGTGCAGACACCTGACAGGCTGGGTCCATGTAAGCTAACGCCAACACAGGAATGCAGTGCAGGGAAACTCAGTCTAATCCCATGCAGCCAGGAACCGGCCCAAGCACAGCACAGTGCTGAAGCCAGTCAAGCTTTGCTCACTCAGCACCATGCAGAACCAGCTGTACGGCCTTTCGGCCACAGTTGGTGAATTCACATGTGCTTTCTTGCATTTCCTAGCACTACAGGGCTAAGTTTTGCAGCACAAAAGTGTTCTTTCTGTAACCCCACTGCATCAATACCTGTAAAGTCACAGTTTAATTTTATCAGAGCATACAATTTCCGAAACAGGGGTTTATTTAGCTATTTCAACAGATTCTCTCCAGTATCTCCAAAAAACAAAGTAAGAGCTATCCCAAACCAGAGGCAGCAAGAACTTCACAACGGCTTTTACAGTTAGCACTAGTGTTTTGTCTCATTTCTCACTTCTCTCATAGTCACGTACAATATTTAATAAACCAAGATGAGCTCCTCTCACCTCTTGAGGAAGTTCCAGCTTAGATCTGTCATCCAGCCCATTAGAGTGCAAGCCCATGAGGTAAGGGACAGGAGCATCTAGAAAATGAAGGAGGGATGCTGGAAGGATAGGAACATACACATGCTGCCACTGAAATGGAAACATTAGTGCTGTGATGGTCTCTGCCACAGTCATCAGTCTCTGATAATCTGAAAAAGATCAAGAAAAAAAAATATTTCTTTCACAAACATTTTTAAGTAAATGAATCTAAGTTAAAGAAATGAGAGCTTGCTCTAAAACAGAAACCACAAAACCCAGTACTAGCTGAGCGGCATCTTAATGAAACCCCAGACTTGTACACCCAAGCACATTTTGCTGAAACAACAAAGAGAGCTCAACACGAAGTAGGTCATTCTACAAGTCATATGTAAATGAGAAAATTGAATCTTAGCATCCATTAAGTCACCCTCTGCTACCTATAGCAGAGTTACCAGGAACACCAGTTTGAGTATGGAAGCAGTATTGTAATCGGCTAAGAAACACATCGGAAATAATTTTTTTTCTCTGGGCTTATGGCTTTCTATGGAAGCCTTGGATGAAATCCAAGGCACCTGGTATCTCTCATATAAACATTTTTTTAAAGACTGCTTAAATGTCTATAAAGTATGCCATATAGTAGCCAACCCAACAGTGCAACTGAAATAATTGTGTAGAAAATAAAAAGGATCAGCTTCGTTTATCCTTTGCAATGTATGACCGAAGTCTCAGTTCAATGTAAAACCAACTCATCTTCTCCTAGAATTTAACAGCAGTGCTAAATGCACTTGTGCAACATGCATACCAAAAGATCTTTTCATTCAGCAGCTGGTGGCTAGAGCAGTTAACATTGCAGTGAGCTGGGCCAAAACCTTGCCCTCCTCTTCTATACTACAGAATCACCTTTAATGGTTTTTGATATCTATGCACTGTAAAGCAGGAGGCAACACCAGAATAACTCAGAGCATGTGGTCTAATACAACTGCTGAAACATTCAGAACGCTTTCAAGCTTCCAGGCTGGAAAGAGTATAAAACAAGCTCACAAGACTAACACCTTCAGTCAAACTGTAATGATACTGCAACAATATCCAATTCCAGCCAGCAAAGGAGGGGTGGGGGGTGTTGGGGAAATAGGAGGAAGGGAAAAAAAACCAGTACCCTTCATATGTGTGTTGGGTTGTGGGGTATGCGTGCATTCTCCTAACATGTTCATAAAACGACACTATGAAATTGGAAAAGACACTTGAATGTACATGTTCAGGTGTTGAGGTTTCTGAAGCTGTTGTACACTGTTGTGGAGTGCAAGTGAAAACTGCAAAAAGAACATTTGTTCTAAACAAAAGCTCTGGAGAAAATTTAAGCTTACCTTTGCACTTTCTAAGGTTATGGCTTTAATTCTATTCTTTAGCTATCCTCCACTCAGACTTCAGATAGCAGAAGACAGAGGGCTAAGAAATTCAGTTCCTGGCATTCATGATTAATTTTGTTTGAAGTCAAAGTTGCAGAGTTTGGGGTCTGCAAAGAGTCCCACAACCCAGGAGGAACTCAGCACAAGTTTTGCTAACAACAGTCATAATTCTGCAATCTAGGCTTTTGATTTTTCTTTTCTGTTCAAGTTCTGCTGGTGGAAAAGCTTACTGCACAGAGGTACTTGTCACTGCCTCACAGTAGATCTACTGTGACTGAAGGAGCCTTCAATCAAAACAAGTGAGAATAGCTTAAACAGTTTAAAGTTTTTGCCAAAAGCTTACTTGGACTGAAACACATTAGGGAACAATCAATGAACATCACCAGCAGCACTCCCCTATTCTGCTAGGACACCAGTTTCTGCCTACACAATTACTTACTGGTTTGCAGCTTTAATCACAGCCTGACTGCAAAGAAGTGATGAATTAATGATAAGCTTTGGGAAGAAGAAGAATCCATTCCATACCCTATTTTCTTCAGCTTTAAAAGAAACTTTAAATGTAGCTATAGATATACAAACATTCCAGCTGGTTCGTATTCAGCCTGTTTATTTGAAAGAACAAGTCTCAGAATAGAAACAGTGTTTTCCTACTACATAAACCCCCCCTGTTTAATCCTGCTGGCTATTTTAAATACAACTTCTCTGTCATTAAGCTAACTTCAGTATTAGCCTTTCAAATTAATTACAAAGTAGCATCAATAATTCAGAATTTCTATCCACTCAGCAGCTATCTCCTGCAACTCAGTTATCTCCAAATGCAGCTCTCTGATCCTGGATATCCACATGGCTTAAGCCATTCCCAACTATATGGCCTGCACAGTCACAGCCTGCAAGTAACAATGACTACATTCTGCAGGCTTTATGCACGTCAGGAGCTGCTGGCAAAAGGCAAGGACAAAAGGCAAGCAGTCCACAAACATAAAAGAAAAATAACTTAAATGTTTTCTTGAGTTATACCTATCCTGAGAGAGTATAGATTTTTTTTGTTTGTTTTAAAAAAGAAGAAAGCAGCACATTTCTAGTACAAAACATTACATAGGATTTTAAAATAACAATAACAAAATCATTTAAAAAAGGGAAGAAGTGCTTCAGTAATGGTCTTGTTCTTGTTTTTGAAACCAGAATATGCTTATTCTGGTCCAAATGACACCTTTTGGCCTTGTATTGTACAAGAGCACTGGTAGGGAAAAACTGACATACCACTAGTGCACTATTAGTTTGGGAAGTGTTTAACTGATCACTGTGCAAGGAAAAGAAAATCTGCTACTTTTTAACATGGCCACTTAAGAACACAGAAAAAGGCTGATTTTTTCTTCTAACAAATTACTGTAGGTAAAATACATTATCCCTTAAAACACATATGAGAAGTTATTTACACTAGTATTTATGTATGTTTAGTATATCTTATCAATTTTTGTTGATCGGTAAAAAGCAAGGAAATCCAGGAAAAAGAAGTAATGAGGGGTCTTGGGTCTGGAAAGAGAGGAGCAGGATGGAAAGAAGGTGGCAGCTGTAAGAACCATGATTCTACATCTCCATTCTCACATTCTACCAGAGAGAAGTTTATCAAGTGCCTACAGAAATTCTTTGACTTGGCCAAATTTAAAACCATTACATGATCACATTCTGGAATATTTTTTTTCCTTCTTATCTTCCTACTTCATGGATCACAATGAAATATTGTTGTATTTGTGAAGTAATTTCCATTCCACATGCAATTCCCATATTGCTGCTTTAAGGCAGAGAGTTGCCCCAACGGTGGAGGACCATTACTACAGACGAGTTTGAGATCTTCAGAAAGTATATGGATAAACCAGAAAGATGGGCTACTTGCCAGGATTAATCTTCTCTTTAACCTGAAGGGGTGCAAAGGGAAACAAATTATATATGCAGTGCCTACTGACAGGTAGCATGCAATGCAGCTGAGCCACCAGAATAAAGCATTGCCTGGAGAGTTCCCTTTAGGCATGCTTGTTCATAGCTGAAAGCATGGTGTAAAAGAAACATTTTTCAACAAATTTTTCTGAGCACAGATATTCTGTGAGAAATACGTACATTTCTTTAATTGGGCCTTTTACTTCAAAAAACCTGTAACTGCAGTAAAAGAAAGAACTGTCGTTAGTAGAAGCAGTGGGTCAAAGTATTTCCTATTAGTGTTCACTTCTGCGTCTGACAGAAGGCTGATTAAAGATGCCTACACCAGGCAGCAAGTTTCCTAAATCACTGGAGGAACAAGAAGAAAATATCCTACGTAAGAGATTAGAGTTGGGCAACACAGGACTAATACTGCAAAGAAATAGAACTAATACTTTAAGCCTCCGGAGTGAACATAATTTTAAGCAAGTGAAACAAAGATGGGGAGAAGTGATTCAAAAGCAAAGCAAAGGAGAAGAATCAACTTGATTTGTACTTAAAAATGGCAGCAGACAGCAAATAGCCAGAAAATAAAAACTGTTCAAGATATAGTCTGTGGCAGTGGTGCATTATATTTCTTTTATTGTTTTTAGCTGTTTAGAAAATCTCCTCCAAGAAGATTCCACAGCTGTCTTAACTCAGTGCACACTTTTCAGAAGAGCTCTAGGTGCTCTACAGAGATAAGGAATGAGTCTATTTCACAGAAAAAAGAGTAATGCAAACCAGCTCCTGCAGAATAATCTGGTGAGGGCACTACTGAAGGCCTCCTTCAGCACCACCGTCTCTTTGCCAGAGTTCCTTGGCACTGGCTGAGCACTAGGAGCAGCTTCAGATTCTTCACTGTCTTATAGGCACCTGCATTTCTCCAACACTTTCCCAAATGGGAAACAACTCTTTCAAGAGGACAATCAAATCAAGGCATTCCCTACATTTGGCTTACACTGATCCAGAACATACAGGCTGTGCCAATACAGTGGGACAAAAGAAGAATTTCCAGAAACATAAAGTCAGAAACATGTCAAAGGAATCTTAAAGCAAAACACATTCACTGCCAAGTGAAGTTACTCCTATTCCAAGGACTGACTGCAACTTAAAATGCTAAATAATTTGTTTCAAAAAGGATTGCATCTGGCAGCAAAGTCCTCCAAGAGTTCTGTGTTTTGGTTTTTTTAAAAAAGTAAATCTTACAAGAAAACCCTCTGATCCTGGCACGTACAGTTCTAAATCTAAATTCACCCAACGAGTACCACAATCTCATCTGACCTAGGAGAACGAGAAATGATCCCAGCCACCTCAACTGTCACAGATTTGAGCGCAAAGAGATTTAAAAAACCCAAAGGACATTAAAAAAATTAAGGTTTATGTTCTAAAGGACAACCTAGACCTCACACTACTGCATGTGCAAGAGTGTGAGCAAGCCCTTACAACTGTTCAAGCCATTTCTGATTCCACTTAGAACTGAGTGCACCATCACCTGTATCTACATTCAACGTTCCCTGTTTTACAAACAGCAAAAACCAGATGTTAGTCAAGCATACAGAAGAAAGAGAAGAATGTATTAGGAGCATATTCCAGTTTAAAAAAAACCAATCAAACAAACCCAACAAAAAAAACCAAAAAAACCTAAACAAACCAAAACAAAGCAAAAGAAGGAAACCAGTAAGTAAATGTATAGACAATCAGAACCTCAGTCAGAAGTTCCATTTTCCTACTGATATCATCCTTTTAAGCGAAGCAAGCAATCACTTTACTAAAACAATTTTCTAATTCACTGCCATGTAGAAGAAAACAGAATATCATGGCTAGAAAAGAGAAAAACAAACAGAAGTTACAGGAAGAAAAAGTTGACTTTTTAGAACTTCAAAATACTTCACACTCCCATTTCAAGTAATACGAAAATAAGGTACGTGTGTATCAAAAGCATTTTAGAAAGTACTTTGAAAGTATTCTAAGTAAGTATTAGCAAACTGCACCAAAGGGGTTTTTTTTTACCTGCTGTTTTTTCTTAAAAAAGTGTCAGAGATTAAAACCCTCAGAAAGTAAGCTATGTTTCAAAAATTATGGCTACTTTACTGAGAAGGCACTGCCACAGCTAGTTCACCAAAACTGAGGGCCAAAAGTCAGCAAACAAATAACTAAAATTATTTTTCTACTGAAAGATGACTTTTCAGCCAGAAACTATAGGTAGAGAGAGACCAGACACTTCCATAAGGTGCAACACAGCCCAACTCAGCCAAAGCTTGGGGTGAGGCGGGTGAACAGTGGACAAAAAATGTCATAAAGATCCAGGCCCACAGGCCTGCATGGATCCCTTTGAATTCCATATGTCTGTGCATGCAACCAAGAAACTCAAGCATTCCAGAGCTATTTCAAGCTTCTTTAATTAGCCACTGTCAGACACTTGGAAAGTGCCCAAGAAAAAAATTGAACCTATTAATCTGACTTGGAAAGAGAACCCAGAACACAGAAGACTAGCCCAGAAGCGAGCTGAGTTCCAGCCCGGGAGAAGAGAGTACTTGTAACACAATGGCATGAAAAGAGATCAGGGAACACTGTTCCGATACGGTGACGTGCACATTGCTTTTCTTGTGGTGCTTCCAACCAGCCAGGCACTCACACTTGCGCCACAGGAGGTCTCAAGCACAACTACAGGCCAGCTGGACTGCACTCTTCTTCAGATGAAGAACTGATGTTTGAATCTTCCACTGGTGGGACACACATATGCACACAAACAAATTCTCCCTAAATCTCAAAAATATAAATGCCTAATCCATTTCTGGAGAAACCACAAAAAAAGTTTGTCTGCTAGGCAAGTATTTCTAGATTTTATTTCTAGATTTTCTATGAATAATAAGCAAAGCAATTTGTTTTTTAAATCCAAGAGATTAACCACTATCAAGTACAGTAAGTTTTTTTGACTCTGTTTGAATTACTGTATAGCTTTCTCTGGTAGTTATCAGTGTTTATACAATGCAACAACTGCAACGTAACGCCCTGCTGCCGTTACAGACTTTTAATCACCTTGGCTATACACACAAAATCCATCTTTGGCTCTAGTCTATGCACTCATCTCAACACACAAACATCTGTATGACATGCTTGGAGAATGTTGCTAATAACTGCAGGTTATATTTTATAACTAGTTACCATTTGTATTCTACATATTTCAGTGACAGCTCAATGGAAGAAAATATCAAAAACAGATTTCAGCAACACCATGGACTATCCCCGGATTTGTCTTGGGGTCTTCTAGGCTTCCTTACCATTACTATAAAACAGTGTTCAAAAATGCATCTACTTTAAACCACATCATTATGGATGGGTGGGTCTGGACTAACATTAGCCAGCTTGGGACAAAAAGAGAAATAGAAAATTATTTTTTGGCATAACTCCACATTCTCTGTGTTAGAGTAACAGGATGCAGAGTAAGCAGCCCAGTATTCACAAATTTCAACATAGAAAATGGATACCACTAGCACATTACTTATTAATTGATAAACAGATGCTATTTCAGCTTAGTTGCTGCCTATCCTCTTCAAAGCAAGCTTTATCTACGCGACTTCAGCAAGAACTGTTTCAAGGCCTTAACAGAGATTTGGGACTTAAATTCAGTCAAATAAAACTTTTTTCAGGTAATTTTAATTCAAAGTAACAACTGAAATGTGACTTTGGGTACTCAGAAAATTATATTTGCATCGTTAATTCTTCTTCAGAACCATATATAATTAACTATGTATCGTCTCAAAATGCATGAATAGTTTGGCAGAGATAGGAGGGAATTCAGCTAAGCAGCTGGAGAGGAACATGGGAGAAGAAATACTACTCTATCCAACAGCACATTGCCAGAGACAACAATAAAGGGGACAGTCAGTCCATGAATACAGGAGATTATGTGAAAGCCCGAAGTTTTAAGTTTAGGTGTCTAAAAACAGGAGCCAATGCAACGCTCTCTTTGCAACTCCAGTTCTTCTCTTTACATTAAAACCTGCACATAGATCAGCTTGACTGCATTAGCATGCTAATACCACTTTAATGCAGCTATTCTGTTGTTTTTTAAAATTCAAGAAATGAAAAGACCTTCTGCCAGTAAAGCTACAAGTTAAGAAAACAAAAACCAAGTACTCACGCTGTGAATAAAGCAGTATCTGAAATTCCAAAAGGGCACAGGTAAAGAGTTGAACCACATTTTCTACTCCAAGCAATTCAAAAACTTCTTTAACCGGAAAATCAAATAATGGTAGTTCACTGGTGCTTGGCCTCTGGCAGATAATTGGTCCATAAACACCTGAAAATTTTAATGACCTTCCTGCTGGAGGAAGAGGAACCTCATAGAGAATATTGTAGATGTAGCTTTCTAAAGGTAGAGGTGGCGGCTGAGGTGAAGTCACTGCTTGGTGAAGTTGTTCTAGTACTTTCTTACAAGCTTTCATGAAAGACATTGGAGTAATCAGACAAATGCACTTTGAGACATAGAGCGTGTCTCTGCTGATGTCATAGGAGTTAAAGCGCTGTAGCTTTGAAACAGAAGTGCCATTGCAGTCTCCAGTGCTGCTGCAGCTATCTTTGTCATTTGTGGGTGGAGTATGAAGAATGTCATATTCAGCATTGTGCATATGATACAGTGTCTGCATTGCACTGCAGATCTGTTTGCTAGTAACTTCCTCAAAAAATGTGAGAGAAAATCCAAATGTCCGTGAGCCATCTTCACGAGTAATAATAAAAGAGTGGAACTGAGGTTCTCTGGAATCTGCTTGTGTCTTGAAAGCAAGCCCTTTAGGCATACACAGCTATAAAAAAAGGGGGGGAGGGGAGATAATATCAATTAAAACACACTTTTCTCTCCCTCTGCCTCCAGAAGCATTGGTGAAAATAGGATTTAGAATCCACAGGTTGCCACTGCATTTCACTTCAAATTCTATTAAGTGTTACATCTCTGTACAATACAGTAATATGCATCTAAATCAGAAAAACTAAACGAACATATTAAAAGGGCTGTATGTAGTTTCTACTGAAACTCATAACCATTTTGTTACCAACCTCAACGGGAATAAAATAACATAATTCAAACTCAGATAAAGGAAAGTATTTTGGTCACTAAGACCAGAAACCTGACAGAGAAAAGTGCTATATTTTATCTAGATCAAGAAACCACAGGGCATTCCATTAAACAGAAAAATCATGCACAAAGAAGATTCATTAATTGCAGACTAATTTATTTCTCTACCAATTCTCTAGAATGTTACAAAAAAGTTGTAAAAGAACAAAAAACTCTCCTAGGGACTTATCACTTATAAGTTTAAACTTAATTTCCTTTAAAAAATACCCCAATTAAATGAAAAGGCCTTTTGAGCCTGTACAATTTAGAGAAATTCATGATTATTTCCCATCTTTAATAGACTTCACACTTTTTTGTCAAAGAAAACACAGATGAATGCCTTCAATTGTTAAGGTAGGTTTTTGTCTTAAAAGCAAAAGCCATTAAGTGATACTGACCATTCCCACTGCATCCTGGTCAAAAGGGTTCCATTCAACATTCTCAGGATAGCGAGCAAGAACTTTGGATTTAAATGTGCGTCTTAACGGAGTCTGTTCAAAGTTTTCCCCTGCAGGTGAAAGAAAAATACAGAAGTAAATATGTCATTCTCTTTTTAAGCTGAAACAAGGCCAAAAAGCAGGACATCAGCAGGTAGATGCAAGGATAAGTGAATTAAGCACACACTCCTTTCAAGAGAAACAGAAAATGCAAGACAGTTAGTTAGCATATAATCAAACTGCAAATATTAGCAGGGATTAGCATTGTAACATTTCTGTGTCGTTAAGTATCTGTGCTTTTCCTTAAGCGTGACTATCTTGAGATTGTGGTCACGACAGCAATTCTCTAAGCTACTCTTCAGATATTTCAGATTCTTGTTAAAGCATAGCTAAAGCTTCAGTTTCAGTGGAATTTTGTTACTGAAGAAAAGCACAAACAGACAAGATGCAAAGATGATGCAAGTTTAAGATAGACATACAAGTGGCACCACTTAATTTCTTCTTCAAGACTTAGGAAAAAAGGGTATTCACCATCTATTACAAGAAGTTAGCTGTGAAGAGAGAGTCTAGAAGGTTAAAAGATCAAGAACCACATAAATGCCCGTGAAGATAGGGTATCAGATGAACAAAAAATTGCGCTGCTTTTTTCCCCACACTTTTTCCTTTACCTTCTGTTGCACTTGAAATGAAACGGCTGGCACCATCTCGGGTTTTAGAGGCCTGTATATACTGGCATAAAGCTATATAACAAATAAAAACAACACTGCATTACAAATTTCATACTGTCGACTGTAATTACGTAGCTAACACATACCAGTAGAAAACATACAAGTATTCTATACAGAATTAGCATGCATAATAAATAGTCTACTCTCCTAACATGCTTTATATATATATACCACTTTATGCAAATTTCTCATTTCAGGTACGTATTTCTTGAAGGACATGATTAGTATGTACCAGAAGCACATAGTTCCTATATACACAACCAGACTACTGATGCAGCAATAGGAATTAGTTGCTTGTTAAATGAAATTTTATATGTTAACCTATAAAATACCCCCAAAGAGCATATGATGAAATAACCCCAAGGATGAGACCATTTCAAGGCCTTTAAAACTATATGAATTTAAGCGGCGCGGTCCAACTTTTCACAGATGCTACCCATACACTAGACTGGCTGATAGAGTCTTGTTTATAAGCTCTCAAATTTCCTCTAGAGCAATGATTGTTCATTGTGATAGCACAGAACTTTCTGCAGTAAATCTGAATGTGTGTAGTTGCTTTAAAAAAAGCGCACAATTGCGTATCTTAAAATAAGCTTAGCTATCTTACTAGAATGCAATTAGCTAAATGAGCATGCAGCTGTTGACAGCTGCACTAACAATCAGGCACAATTGCATGAAATCATATGTTTTAAATAAATCAAACTATTTCACCAACACCTGCAAAAGAGAAAACACACTTCAACTCCTCACTTGTTTTCTTACACGCAGCAATAGAAATGGCAATAGAAATTGATTCCAGTATTGGTTGGGTTTGTTCTGTACTTTTACAGTAATATTTAAAGTTCAATTTCTAAGCCAAATTAGAATCTTTCTTTTGTGCAACGTTTACTTCCACAAAGTAGCCATACACAGAGGTAGTTATAACACTGCCTATAGACAATAAAGAACCTAAAAAACACATTACACCAAACAAAACTTCGTTTCCATGGTTAAACCATGACAAACGTTTAAGAAGTCCTTTGATAATTGAGAAGTCATGCAACTCTGGATTTTGTTTAAACTAAGTCTTAAATATTACCTCGAACAGGGAACTTATCTTGAATCAGGACCTAGGACAGGTCTCACAATACACAAAATATTCACATCTGTTTTGCTAATCCTCTGGTTTTTAGCACTGAAATTAAAGGAAGGGTTGTTTTTCCTGTTTGTCTGAAAAACCAACAGCTCAGCTGATTTTCACACAAAACCACTCAGCTACGTTATTTATTACTTTGTTCAATACTACCATTGTTCAGAGAGAAAAAAAATGAGTATTTGGGAAAATCTGAAACGTGTATAGAGAGAGATAGTTAGGAAACAACAGAACACAACTTCACTGAAATATAACCATCTTGGGAAAGAGCAGAGTCAATGACAGAAAACATAACAGCATTTCTGCAATAGCTAAAAACAATCTCAAAAGATGAAAATAAGCATTTAAAGAAACTCCCAGAAAAAGAAAAATGGTCATAATGCCACATCTCTATTTACTAGTACAAACATACACTCAAGTAAAGACAGTCCTCTGTAAAAGAGGTTTAAAAAATATGTCAGGAGACTTAACACACCTACTGTTTTCTATATTTACATCTGTGCAGATGATGTAATGTCAACTTTTAGATAATTGAGGAAAAGCCTCAGACATTTACTAAGCTGTTTTGTTCCTCTTTTTTTTTTTCTTCCACATACATATAAGGGAGAAAATATCTGAAGGCCTGAACTTGGAAACCACACACCACAATCACTGGGGTCACCTATATGCAAGGTCATGCATATTCCGGAAATAAAAAGAAAATCTGTGACTTGAAGACTTTTTCATTAAGATGATTAATATTGCAAAATACATGATGCTGCTCTTCCCTTCTCATAAAAAACAAAACAAAACAACAAAAAACAAAACCACCGAATGGATGCTTGTATATTTTAAGAAGCTTTGCCCCATCTCCTCCCAGAAGACATTCTCTCCATCACACAATTAAATTTTTTAGACCTGAAGTCTGTCTATAATTTAATGAAAGTACTGAAATTGATTTCTGGAAGCCCACCGAGCCCTGATCCAGACAGAAACATAAGGCAACACTTACACGCCTTCCTGTAATTCATCAAACAATTCAGCTGCTGCACAGACACTGCTCTTGCCAGAGTGCCTCCATATTACACTTCTTTCCTAGAGCCAGCCTGCTCTGATATCATATTTGTCATGTTGACTTCCGCATGAGTGTGATGCTCATTTTCCCTTTCACGGCAGCAGAGTTTTCCATCTTTAGCTATCTCTTTTTGTAAGAGCCTTCATGCTTGTAATAGAGCAAACCACTGGGCCTTCAGACTGGGCAATGCTGACTTCCAAAAATACTGACAGGGCAGGGGATCTCAAGTGACAGCTCACCAACAACATACGGAAGGTTCAGCCCAGGAACAGAAATGTGATCTGTGCAACTCCAGGACACTGGCCACCCTGTTTTCTTGCCGTTACAACTAATGAGAACCTAAGCACCAGCCAGTCCATTGCCTAGGCTCCCCCTCCACTTCTTCCACTAGGCAGCTAGTGGTTGTCACTAGATAGCCATAAACAGATGGGGGAAAAAAAAAAAATCCACAAACAATATTTGCTTATATCCAGAGTCAAAAAGCAATTAACCCTCAATTTCTAAATTTATGATCAGTTAGAAGCCTCAAACACAAACACCCTGCTCCAGCAAGATACCAATTGCAGCACATCTCCAGCAGGCAAAAATAACTCATGGTTTCAAGATCTCTGTGAATCAGACATCTGATTAATTTAGTACTAATTGAAATGGTTTTGATAAAAACACTGAAGACAAGAGCAGGTTTAACAAATACACAAGACAAACCCATCAGCAAAAACGGACAAAGTTTTATTCTAGAACTGAGAAAATGGAGGCGTAAGAGAAGATAAACTGATAGAAACATGACATACCCCACAAGTTTCAGAGTGAGTACAAGTTCCCACACTTAATGACTATCAAAGGACTGCTATCATCAGATCATGCTTTTCATAAGGTTCCTCTCTTCTAGCAGAAGTGATGGCTAGAAAGTACCTTCCTTACTGATCCGAGTTACAATAAAGAGGTCTTCAAACATCATTTCTCTGTAAATAATTTCTTTCTTTTGTGCAAGTTCCATGTAAAAGGGATTTTTTTTTTCTTTAAACGGAACACAGCATTGCCTGCTGAAGACTAAGGTGGCCTTTCAAACATGTTTGATGATCCTCACATACACTTTATCATTCATCTGTTTGTCACAGCATAGGAAAAGCTCTCAAAAATGAAGATGCAAACCACCCTACAGACTACAAACTTGCAACTAATTTGGATTTAAAACAGAAACAATAATCAAATAGCTACAACTATAAGACTGTAAGGAACTGTCATACAACATATAAAATCCAGAAACATACAAAATTCCAGGAAAAAGGAAAAAAAAAAAACAGGAATACTTCAGGAAGTTTCAGGCCAACATGCTTCTCAACATCGAACCTTCGAAACAGTAAGAATCCCACTGTATTTTGTAATGTAAATAATATCATAACAGCATAGAGAAACACCATTTCACTAGGCACTGTACAAATCCACAAACACCAGTTTAGAACGAGACCCGGTGCTGCACCCAGCAGAGGAATGGCAGTGAAACAGAGAATCTCAGAGTTTCTTTGTCATTGGAAAAAACACTACCTGTGGCATCCCACCCAAAATAGGATCAGTGAAACGATTTGGATTAAAAATAAATAAATACAGAATGAAGAAGAGGTCAACAAAGATTAATATTTCACTAATCCAGTTTAGCCCATGCCCACACAAACAGCTTAACTAGCTTACAGGGATCCCCCAAAACAGGAAGGAAGCAAAGAGTAAACCACAGGCACAGCGGTTCTTAAACTGGTGCACTAAGGAAAACATGGGACTATGGTAGAGTTTTAATAACCTACATGGGTAACTGAATTACTCCTAAAGCCGCTCCTCCTCCTGAGGCCCAGCTTGCCCACCTGCTGGCTCCTGCCATGCCAGGTAATAGATTTCTCAACACCAGAACCACTATCTGCTTTGGTAATGCCCTTTTCTTTCTCTCCCTTCTTTCACACTTCATCAACCCCGTAAGACTCCACCACAGGGTGGAAAAGGAGCAAAGATGCTACAGCAATCAGTGACTTGAAAAGATTTTGCCCATCTGAACTGTGGCAAAAACAAGCTATTCCCACTGTTACACTATGTAGGCAGTCAACCTCATTACAGTCCTATATTGCTCTCTCCTCATTTGTTACCATGTAATTTAAAAATACATGCATAGAAGACTTAAGTTCTTAGAGTAAGCTTGCTTATCAAAAGGAAAGTCACCAGCTAGGCATAACCTCTGAAACAGTCTCCTTGGCTGAGGGTTGTCCAAGTCGTCGAACGCTGCTGCTACCAAGACTGCCGGCTTGGCCAGCTCCTCCTGCGGCAGGAGAGCGCAGCTCCCAGCAGTCTCACTGGAGTGAGGTACGCTTACAAATCTCACGTAACAGGCAGGTAATTCTCCAACCTCGCCCGCTCACATCTCTTCAGCAAACTGAACTTGATGGACTGTATTTCATGCATAAAGGAAACTACAGACCTGCTTAAGATGACCAAAGAGTTGAAACACATTACATTTAGTTGGAACGTGCCGTTAAAACCAGCCCCTTTTCACAGCTGCGTTGAAGCTTACACCACTCCTCTAACAGCAAAATACAATTTGCAGTGTATGGAACCATAAGGCCTGACAGACTTCCAGTTCTACATTATTTATACCACCTTAAATGATGCTCGCCTATGTGTCTGTAACTTGGACTTCCTAATTACAAGCACATTAGAACAGCTAATGCATACACTCCAAGTACCCTACGTTTGAACTAACAACTACACCTCATTTTATTGAGTGATATCTTACTGGAGTCACCTAATACTGAACATAAGCCTTATCACAATGTAGATTCGTAG